CAATTATTATTGTTACTTTTTTCGCCTTCTTTCATTGTAGCCTGCAAATAGCGTAAAATACCAGTTACAAGTCCTGAACTCCTGAACTTATACAACTTTGGAAGGGGCTTATATCCCGGGGAGGGGGCTGGGCAATAGAGAAAGAACACCGTTTGGAAGTGAGCTGAGAAGAAACGAGTACTCTATTGAAGAACTAAGAAAGTCGCCGAGGAACCTCAGAATGCAGACGACAGACTTCAGACTCAAAACTTCAGACTTTAGACTTCGGGCTTCAGACTTCTTTGCTCAAAGATAGCAACCATCAACAGACAGAGATTTTACTTCAGAGCCTTGGATTGCTTGTGCGGCACAACTTAAATGCGCGTCAGTTCTGGTTCGATTCAAAAATGAAAGACACGTGCTCATTTAACTCTGGGATTTAAAGTCATAACTCCAAGACCGTTTGAGGAGGGGTTGATGGAGTTCTTCCCCCCGCCCCCCTCCCCCCCGCCCTGGACGTTTGTTTAATTTATTTTTTCTTACTTGGATAGGCTAGAAGGAGCTAGTTTGCTAGAGTGGATTATCCTCTGTGATTATTACGTTATGCGGACAGCAATAAAATCCCTATCTCGGATGTCACTATTTTTTCATGATGTCGAAAACATATCAAAACTCGACCCCATTTTTAAACATTGAAACGACGTAAGAGTGCGCAAACGCTGAAATGTTGCACGTGAGAAAAATATTCATTCAAATAAAGCGATGTTCCTGAAAATGTAAAATTTCGCCAAACCTGAAAATCAAATCATTATGTGCTACATGGCGTATTGAAGAACGCACTTATGGGTCATACGTATTTTGTTACTGGAAAGTGATCCTTTTCTGATTTTCTTTCATTAGACAACAAGGAACCATTGCTGAATGCCAAAACTCCGGGAAAATGTTCTTATTAGAAAAATTGAGACCTCAATTTCGACAAGAAACTTTTCCCGGAGTGATGCCCTTTGGCAATGGTTTCATTCTAAACTGAACATAGGGCATGTTAGTCGGTGAAGTAAGAGCAAACAAGATGTCCATCAAAGCTATTTATTCAGCATGTTAACTTTATACAATCCAGTGTCTGTTAACGAAATAGTTACACATCGTAATGATCTATTCGGATTCTTCATACACGTAACAAATGTCTGTGATCGATTAAAATCTGAAAACAAACGATAACAAAAAGGTTTTTTTTTTTCTTTTCATTGCTTTGGAATTTTCTGAATACAGGTCAAAGTTTACATAGTAAACATCATAGTAGCACCCTTTTTAAAGATCAATGATTCCATCCTAGTCTCTTAGCTAGCTAGTAGGTCAAGAAATATGTCAGTTATCCCTGGCACCCTATAGTGACGGAGATGCTAGAAAGGGTTATACCGGTAAAAACTGATCAGAGCTAAACTCTCACTGCTTTACCCGGATCTAACTAAAAGGCGCCACAGAAACATCGATCATGTGTTAACTCTCACTATCAAGAATCGCCGTCACTTTTCGAAACAGTGGAGTCTCACTCCTGAAAACTCGAACACAAGGGGGAATTGACCTAAGAGATCTAAGCTAAAGAAAAATATTTTCCAAGTACATAAATACTCGGTGTTATTTTAATTTGGTGTTGTTTGTCTGTTTCTGTGTCGATCAACTTCTCTTTCATGGCCTGCATGACAGAGAAGTCGTAAACAAGCAACCGGCGCGTTCGATCAACAGAACAGACAATCGCATCTTGATCTTCTCCTCCTAAATATGAATCGTACTTGATCTTACACCTGGGAGAGTACCCGAGGAAAAAAGTGACGGACGAGTGCGAATGACACCCTGAGGAAACACCAGCCGAAAAATGTATTAACTAACCGACCAAAATAAAAATATACTTCTATGATAAATATAGACCAAAAAATAAAATTTGTTAAATTTTCAACCCCCATCCCCCCAAAACATCCAATATGCCATCTTTAGTCCCAAAAAATCTCCCTTTGAATATGCCTTGCCAATACAAAGTATCGGTGAAAATTTATAGTCCCAAAAATAGCGAACTAGTTAAATTCATAGTCCAAAGTGATTCGCACGATCCGTCACTTTTAAACCTGAATTTCATGGAAGCTAACGTCACTTCTTCCAGCTGAATCGCCAACTGACTAAAGTAACAACGCCTTCTGACTTTCTTTCATGATAAGTAATGAACGCTACAGTTAAAATTCAACTAAGCAAAGAGCTGCCACTTACTGATAACTCTTAAGTGCACCTCAGTGCTTAAGTGCTTGATACAGTTTGCACCAAAATATTCACGGTATAGATGATCTATAGATGGCAAAACTCTTCGTAAGTCATTTGTCGTTGACATGCACCGAAGCCGTTCTAGCTACTCCAACCAGCCCATAATGATTGTGACTAAGAGAGGGTTGCTAATGTGTTTTTTGTTTGCTTTTCCGAGGTTTTATCCGATTGTGCGACTTCACTATGAGTTTGCATGTAGTTCGCCTCGCGGACAGAAAAGCTAATTAGGGTAGAATTTTTTAGAAATGTACAAAACGGTAGCAATTAAGGAAAGGTTCTCATAAAGCAAATATGAAATGAAGTCTATAAACTCTGTGACTTCCCTGGGAAATAAATCTTCTAACTGAGACTACTTGATAAGTTTTATGCACCTATATAGGCTATTTATAATCATTGGAATTTTTTTACTAAAATACCCCGATGCAAGTAAAAAAATATTGCGTACAAATCACAAATCAGTGTATCCCTGTAGTACGTATGCCTGGAATAAAAACATACGATATGGCGCTAATTTATATCAACTGTAAAACTGCTATAGGTCGCTGTAAACAAGGCTAGCACTATGAAACGTCTATTCAGCAAAGCTTAGTTAAACCTTTCCTTTACAAGCAAGCTAATTCGCTATGACTATACAGCTATTCTAAATCCAACAACATCGGAGAGTTATCTGGAGTCCTAAAAAAAGTCAAAGGAGGTTGAAAAATTGCCAACCCGGATAAAATGTATTGAAATCCACAAGTTACTTTTTCTCGTGGGTTACTGGTCAAAATTGGTCACGTGAAACAGCAAAGAAACACGTGCATGTCATCAATTTGCCTTGCCTTCCACGTTCTTTGAACCAATGAAATTCATTGAAAATTATACTCGACCAATCAATAAATGGAATTTGAGGGGTCACGTTATAAATAACTGCTGCTACCACCCTACTAGGAAAACGACTCCAGCAGAAACTGTAGGATCCTATCTAATACCAATAAAGTACTTTTAGTGTAGGTGGAAACCGCCCGCATAAGCCCTTGACTAATCTGCTATTCGCCGGTACAAGTTGGACGGGCAGGATAGCGGTTTTGTCGTTTTTGGTCGCTGGTAGTAGATTTGTTACTTGATAGACAATGTAGTCATCTTTCGGCCAACAAAATTCATTTTTTCTGGTTCTGAGAAACTGATTCTTCTACGAGCAACTTCGGGAGGAACCTGAAAAACAAAACATAAACAGAACGCTCAACAAATGGCATCTCGATCTGTGCGGAGAATTTATTTTTCAGTGATAACAATGTCGTTTTCTCGCGTGATCTTTGTATTTAACTTTAGCCAAGTCTGCATCCCGGCATGCAACAGGTGCCAAGCGCGGGAAATCACGCGGAGACGTAGTAACGATTGCGTTTGGTTTTCTTTCGTTTTCTCAAGCTGGGACAAGGAAGTTGTTAAGGCCATACTCACATTTTGTTGCTGAAGGAACTCGGCGATCCGACTGAATTCAGGTCGGGTTTGCGGCACATCACTCCAACAGTTTTTGATAAGTTCCTGTAATAAACATCATAGATTGTATATGACACAGTTATCTCTTTACTCCACATAAACAAACCAACGTTCCTACTCGTATTCCTAGATGTTGCTGTGAAATCATTGCTATTCCGATATAAAAAAGGTAAAGGCTGTATACGAGCCAAGTGGCTCATCAGGTCGGAGCTTATCCCGGTTTCCGTAGCATGAAGTGACTAGGAGTATTTCTACTCCCCCTGGATGGGATGCTAGTCCATCGCAGGGTTACCCCCGGCATTAAGTTCGCCGCTGTACCCCATTTATGCACCTGGGTGGAGAAATGCACTATGAAAGTGTCCTGCCCAAGAACACAGGGCAATATAATCTCCCTGGCCAGGGCTCGAACCCGGACCACTCGATCCGGAGACGAGCGCACTAACAATGAGCCACCCCACGATATACGATATACGTACCTTGAATGATTCTGGACACTGGATATGTGTTACACACTCTTGTTGACCTTTGCCAATCATCCATATCACAGAATGCGTGGGAAAGTTTAATGGCCACTTTCCAGTGAAAATCTCGTACAGGATTGTGCTGCAAAAGTACATCATATCGTTAAACATTACCAGTAGCTGATATTGTTACATCGACTGACCATAGGGGTCTGCTTACAATAGGAACTCCGTAAGTGCTATATAGATTATGAGATGAAGGTGCACATGTCGTGGGATGGATAAATTGTTCCGTCTTCCTCAGTTTTTTTTTAAGACCCCCAGTGTCGGTTCTCGGTCAGTGAAATTCCCATAGTGACTGCATGATACCGTTATGTCCTTTATTACTTCAAGTGATCATGTGACTCTTTCGAAGTCCCCTTTACATTGTGAAAAGAAACTCACCTATAAGCGTAAACGTTTGAGAATTCAGTGTTCCTCTCTTCAGGTGATAAAACGCAGCCTTTTCTCGTGAGCGTGCGCATAAGCTCTGGAGCAAGATAGGTCAGATGACCCTGAGGTATACTGGCGTACCCCTCCCTGGAACAAAAACTCATCGTTAGTTGAAATATGTGCAAGTTTAAGACGTTTTCAAAAAGCGTGAGCAACGTGACAAAAAAGTGACCAGGCGCATATTGTTACCCCCTGGTAGTCCTGGTACATCGATACCTCATTATATCAAGCCCTTATAAAACGAAGCCCCTGGTATAACGAACGATATTCCAGGAAAAGTTACAAAAACTGTACGGAACGATAAAACTAACCCTGTTATAACGGAATCCCCTATATGGAATAAACGTCGTCTCGCGTCGAAGTTGAACTCGAAAATATCAACAGGCTATTTATGTAAAACATTTTCTTTACCTTTCAACTCGTTTTGTCCTATTGCAGTAGCCTGAGACGCAAAGCTTGACCTTGGACTCGAGGAACACGTTCATGGTAGTCAAGGCAGGGAGGACAATTCCTTTGGCATGAAGGTAGCTCATACCCTAAAGAAATGAAAACAGCGAAGCCGTAGAGAGATCAGACCTGCTAACTGATGAGAAGGTATTAAAATGGTCAAATCTAGCAAGGTGTTTTTGGCATGAAGGTAGCTCATACCTTTAAGAAATAAAGGTCAGAGGGATAAGACAGAAGAAACCAGACTTGCTAATTTACGAAAAGATATTAATGAGGAATGTGAAAATCAAGCGAAGTGGGTGTTTTATTTAAAACTGTGAACGTTTACCCAGTTGCATAAGAACCCGAAGATTTTAATTTCCAACTTGCGAAAAAGCAATTCTCTTAAACTTATGGTTCGGCCATGCATTCATTTTATGTTACCTCTGAGAATTTGTTGGTACTTCAGAACAATATTTTGTTACATTTTCATCGCCTTTCTTTTTGGCATTTTGTTATGTTGCATGCCATTGTAAAGTATATAAAATACTTGTTGATAGACACAAACCTGTGCTATTTGCTTTGCAATGGAAATCTTTGAGTGCAATGAAAACAAGTCCTGACGTACATGGAGATGGTTATACAGTGATAAACCTCTTCTGACGCTGAAAAGAAGCAAGCAGACCAAATCATGTACGAGTGAATTAAGCTTGGCTACAATGACAAATAGATTATCGAAATTTTCGGGCGGTCTAGTTTATATCAGTGTAGAAAGAAGCCACAGTATAACTTATGGCCAATTTCATCGGAATATTAGTAATACGTCGATACTAATAACACAAGCAGAAATTACTGAATTCTGATTGGTTAACAAGGGACGCAGTTTTCCTATAAATAGTGCAGAAAAGTGTTACCCGAGTGTTAAGTACGACCTGTATGTTTTCCGAAGTTTATGCGAAGTAACTTAAAGACTGCCGACGGTCATCCGAAGAATTTCGAAGGTGGTGACACTTACCTGAAGTCTTTGTAAGATAGTCGAAGATGATTAGACGATTTCTGAACACTTCCAGAGGTTTCTCAATTTCACCCGAACACGATCGGGTTAATAAAATGACTCAACGGAAACACGATTGATAAACTAGCAAACACAGGGTATTTACCTTGTAATAACAGCAAGGTTAGGTGGCTCAAGACACGCTCCCATGAAGAGCACAACGTTTTCATGTCGAATCATGCTCAGGACCGACACTTCCTTCAGAAACTCATCCAGGTCTTGTTCAGCTGACCTCCGCCGAGTGTGAATCATGATATCCCCATGCCACCTCCCCCTGAAAAAAAACAAGTTTGGTATTCAGTCCGGTCATTAACTGTTATTTTAGAGAAACCATTTGTCCCCTCCCTCCTCAATTCAGTTTTCATGCCACATGACTGAATTTTGCCATATTCCAAATTGGGAGGAAGACAACGTATTTGAGTAACAGTTGTTGTGGTCTAACATAGCTGGACATGTCGAAAATTACTATTTCAGGTAGATTTGACAGGTTTGTAGCCTACAATAGCATTTTTATACTGCGAAAAGGGACACGAAACCTTTAGCATTAAGATTTTTTTTTTATTACAGCGGTGTTCTGGATCCTGTTCAACCTCGTTCCCAGGGTGTTTCGCAGGAAGATGAGAGGACCTGGGAACGAGGTTGGATCAAGTTCAGTCACGGGTCGTAACCAAAGCAAAGCGACAGACAGTGTACACCTTCTTTCTATAGTTCTCTTCAATTAACGTTACGTATCTCAGCCAGCAAAAGTGCCAAATATCTCTTTCTCTTATCTCTACCAGGTCTAAAATGGACCATCATTTCTTCCTGATAAAAATCATGTTGAGCAACGTCCTCCTTTGCACCCATTTATACACCAGTCAGGGTGGTGAGAGGCAGTGCAATAGGAAAGTTTGGCATCCGCGAACACAACACGAGGATCTCATAAGCTCGTCGGATCTCAAGTTGAGCCAAAAACCATTTTGTCTCTATAACTCCATTATTGTGTTGACTGCAGTAGTTCCAAAGGGACAACACTACAGGACTCGTACTTACTTGTAAACGTTTTCCTTAGGGCTGGCGCCAACGATTTCTCCAAACTGCAAGTCCGAGAAAGGTATGCTCCACTCCCGAAGAGATTTCTAAAAAGAATTAGGAATGTTTTACAATAAGAACAACAGAACAGGAATTGGGGTTTAAAGATTAACTGAGGGTGCTCTATAGCATTTTAATTTTTATCGAAGAACTTCAGTGCTCATGAAATTTTTTTCAGACGCCTATAATAGACCACGGTCGATATATTAAAATTCAGCCTAATACAATAGACCTCAGTACGAGGCTCCGGGGAATAAACCCCACAAACTCTGCAGTTATTTCCCGGAGCCTCGTACTGGTCTATTTCGAAGTACTCTCTCCACTCAGTAAATTTAGTTTGAGATCGAGACTCGATTGTTAGTCGACTGCTTGCTGGACTGCAAATTACATCAAACTTTTACGTTTTACGAATTGTGAAAAATTGCTTTCGTAAATTATGCTGAGGAAAATTGCAGACGGCTTCTTAATTTCCAAAATCGGTGTTCCAAAATCTTACGAAGTAACCCAAAAACTTGTTTCTTGTTTCTGTCAATTGTTGGATTGCATTCAGTATTAGTAAAACAGCGGTTTGGAGACAAAATTGCGCCATCTTCCAAGAGTGATATTTGTGACAAGAAGCCTTTCAGTTGGCCAATCGTGTGCAAGATAAAGTACTTGATGATTCAAATCAGGATAGGTTGCGTAAAACAGCTGAATGTGGTATAAACCTACCTTTATATCGTCTTCATCCTGTTTTTCTCCCCTTAAGCTAAAAGGCAAGATGAACAGTATTTAGTAATGTACTGCAGTTATCACTTGGGGCAAATATGAAAATATTAAGTGGAACTTTTTTTTGAAAGAAGAAAGCAAACTTCTCGTAAAATTTCAAGCAGCAACAAAAATGCGCTGCTTATTCTGTAGTAGTTCATTATCACTTTAATGTAACTCCGGAATATGTTACTTAAAAAGATAATCTTTTGCTTCCGCGGAGCTAATTAGTCTAAAAAACACTGGTAATATAAAATAACATCATCAGCTACTAAAGATAGCAATACAACAGCATCAGGTTCGTATACCTCTTCATAACTAACTGGCTTTTTGATGCAGGTCTTGCATTCGATCCAGATTTGACCCTAAAGCGACATAGTCGCTGTATGATGATGTCTCCCACACGTGAGATAGTCTTTGGTCCAAGTCTGACCTTTTCTTGTAAAACATGGCAGCTTCCTCCTGAGGGCGCCATCTTCGATTTCGCAAGAGCAACGGGCTAAGGAGTTCCGGTTTACTTTTCAAGATGGACTTTCATTGACCATCCGGTAAAATTTCAGAATAAACTCAATTCATGCTGGCTAAAAATAGCTGGAAGCGGAGGCGAAACGTCGATTTCGAGCAAATCCGGCGACTATATTGAGACCAATATTTAGTTTGTACATAGCAACGACAGCCAAGTAAGAGGTGGGCTCTAGTTGATTCAAAGCAACACTGGATGTGTCATGTCATGTCTTGCAAGAGTTTCTTAGTCGAATATTGAGTAAGCATATCTTTTCAGTCAAAAGGGTTTTTCTTTGCAGACTTGGCAACAATTACAAGTCGCTCAATTTGTGCCGATTTTCAAACCAGAACCCACGTGACCCGAAGACTTTTCTAACCCTTTGTAACGTCTTTTCAATAGTAGAAAAGTTGTACGTGCTCGGCTGAAGTGCTCTGTCCTCACCTGTTGTTTACTGTAGGCAATGGCTCGTGATATCTTGAAGTCTGAAAGTCATCAGCTGAAAAAAGATTGACTTGTGCATTAATGAGTGAAAGAGGGTCAACAGTGATGGCACATGTGCATTACTGAAAATGGGTTTCGCAAGGCGCAGCAAATCGCACGTTATTTTTTTTTCTACGATATTTTTCTAATAAATCATCGTTAAATGTTCAAAATATTGAAAAGGGGAAAGATATCATCGGTTATCGTCTTATTATTTGCCCACTTAACGTCATCGCGTGTGATATGCATGTTAATTGCTGTCAGTTTGGCGCATATGTTAAGTTAGGGAGGAGATTGATTCCACATCAAGCTGAGTAAACGCACTACACTGCAACTCAGAGGCATAACATTAGTAGCTATTAGCGCTAGATGATTTGCGTTTACAAAGCTAAAAATATCCAGAAAACAAATCCTTGGTAACCTGTTCCTACGCAATTGTTGACAGTATAGTCACGAATTCAAAAACAAACGTGATCTAATGTTGTTTTGCATTGTGCAAGCGTTTCCAAACGCACTATTTTTGGATTAAATATATAATCAGCATCTAGCAAATGTACCTAGTTAGGTCTCAGTTAAATTATGCTAGATTTTTGGCAGTATTTCAATAAGATTGGTACCATTGTCAGTTTTATCTTTGCTCGGAAAAACCCAATAAATAAGGTAAATAAATCATTCGTGTTGTCTGAGTAGATTTTTAGCATAGTCATAGTAGATTTAATGAGGCTATAGTTAGGTCCCCGTATAGCTTATTAACATTACGAGCCTTTTTAGAATCAGATGTGAATATAATATAAAGCAATAAGTTTTGCTTTTAAATGTCTACTACCTGCAGTGTCATGTGTATAAATTACCTTAATGCTTTCACATGTTTTTTTCATGAGCATTGAAATTCGCACAAAGCTTTACAAAATGCGGTGATTAAAATTCAGCCGTAGGGGAGCTGGCATTAAAGAAGCTTTACTTAAAAACAGCTCTTCACAGATGATCTTTTTTTTCTTTTCAATTCCATTGTCAAAGCAAGTATATATAATTATAATCGCAAAACGAGCATTTACCGTGTTATGGGTGTTATGGCAGTAAGCTAATAACGTTTGTTTTTTTTATTTTAGGCGGGGTTGGACATTAATTTTCACGATTCTTGAACAAACAATTTCGAAAATTTATGCGCGGAATTTAATCTGAGGTATGAGGGGTTCCAAGGTTTTTTAAAACAGCAATGCAGATATCTCGCTGTGGCCGTACAACCACCCCTGCTAAAAGCCACATGATTTTACTTTTAGTCAGTTCGTAAATGAGTCAGCTTTTCGCTCCTCGCCCCCGAAGAATAGATAACATAAGACAGACCAGGTGCATATTAATGACTGAGTGCGGTCAAAACGTGAACAAAATCATCAACAAAATTGACTGACAAATACAAGCGTAGGTCTGCATAAATATTCATGCATACTGAAAAAATTTGATTCAGGCAAATTGATATTTTGTGCTCTTTGCTCTTTTCTTATTACATAACAGTGTAACTTACTAGTGCCGTTTAACGGCAAATGTCAATTCTGTGCGCATTTACTTTCACAAGAAGTAAACCATGTATGAAATAAGCATTTCTACCGGCACTTTGACCTTAAACTTATACCGGTTTTTTTCGGCGCTTTTCCATTTTTAATTTCCGCTTAAAGGGACTCATTCTTGCTCAATCGCCCTGAGCAAACTACAAAATGTCAAAGCTGCGACAAATAGGAAGAAACAACTTACCGGAAAATATTTTCTTGTTGAGTTTGTCTTTGTCTTTTTCTTGTATTTTGTTCTTTTGAGGCCAGGTAGCGAAAAAATTGCAAGGCTCTACCAAAAACTCGTCCCTTAAATCGTCATCTTCATTAAGAATTTCCAAATCACTGTCTCCAGAATAACTGTTGTCCTCGCCGCTGTACTGTTCTAAAGTGGCGCTTAAAAGTTTTATGTTAGAAAAGTCCGGGGTAGGTGATGTGCTGCGGTGCGAATTAGCTGAAGACGGGCAAGAGGTATTCGCCGAGGAATATCCTGAAGAATACGTACAGCTAGCGGATGTCGACCATGAGTTTGTCCTGTGCCAAGTCGAACTTGATAGAAGTGTCTCGTCTCGATCAATAGTGGTTAGATTTTCACACACCCGAGTTGGATAGCACTTTTCTGGTGAAGTATGTCTCTGAACTGTGATGGTCAATGGAGATGTTGCGTGGAACTCGTCCGAGTTGTTCGGTTGAAAATCGAGCGCGTGCCTTGGACTGTAACATAATGACTCGTACAGACCATTGATAAGCTTTTGTCGGAATTTTCCCGTAGCATTTAAGGGCAGGAGTGATTGAGGAGCTCCTTTTCTTGCAAAATGTTCCAAATTCTCGTGATTCAATGACCACTTCCCACAAGCATTATGCCCTGACCGCCAGAATCGTTTAGTCCTTGATTTTCCTGCAATCGTCATCACGGAAAAAATAAGAGGAAAATGGAGATAATCTCAGCATCGAAAAACAAAGTGTACAGCAATTAGTTATTTCTCAGTATAAGCTGAAAGGAAAGGAATTTGTTGGTAAAATAAATATTAATTACACCTTAAAGTTATATTTTGTCTTTGTCTTACCGGCACCAACTTTGTGGCATCGAAGATCGCAGTCTTGCAATAGATTGCTTGGGCTTGAGCATTTTTTGTGATATTTCAACCTTCAAATTGAAAGACATTTCAAAATTCTCGTTAGCACTAAGATTTTTTTAACCACGGCGGCACAGTCATACTGTCAGTCAGTTCAACTCTTGTGTATACACACATTACTATTCATGTAAAGGGAGACTTTCGGTGATACAAGCCGCCAGTGTTGGTTAAATCCTTAAGCCAACTGTACAAACCTGCAATCCTGGCAGCGCACCCCGAGGAAACGTATCACTTTTTTGCAATTGTCACATTGGCTTCGGCAGAGGATTGTCCTCGAGAAACTGCAAGATAGAGAACGAAGAAAAGAGAGCAAGATGACGCTAAATTGAATTTCACTTCTACCACCGGGCAGGTGCTCGTTGTGTTCACGACAATGAGAACCTTTCCACCGCTTTTAATGAAACTTTCGCACTTCTGTCCGCGACGGAAAACATGATTCAGGATAAAAGCACTTTGTTGATTAAAATTGAGGCGACAATTCCACGGAAGGAAAGCCCTCAAAAATTTGTCTCCGTGTTCGCATTTTCATTGGACTTTTTGCTAAAAACAATTTACTGCTGTTCGGTCGCAAAATCAACACAATCCCTGTGGTAATTGTTTTGATCAGAGTATCTGCTGAAATTCCTTCTTCGATTCTTACCTGTGCGCGTCGACTTGCATCGTTAAACTCATAAATCGAGTGGCAGAGATTTGTAGCCGTACATCTCTGACTGAAGCAGTCGTTTCCGCTTGAAAACCTACAAGCTTTGGTTTACGCTGCGCTTTACTGCATCTATAGCTAACCTCCCAACCTGCGAATATGCAAATAGTGGCAGATAATAAGTGATCTCCAGCTGCCAAGAATAGACCAATCAAATGGCGAGCCTTTACAAACACCAGGCACAGATATTATGCGCAGTGCATAGATTTTGCACGTCTGCGAGAGCAAGGGGGATCGGCCGCCGTAAACAAAATAACAAGTTTTGGCAATTTCCCCCCCTCCGAATGAGTTTTCACTTGTATCACCTTGGCATTAATAGCGGAGAAAAATAAAGGTAACAAAGGATTGTATTAGGAGACTCCGTCTGTTTTGAATCAATGATATCGATACAACGGTGGGAGACCACTTTGCATAACATAAAGAAATTATAAGATCCGGACTAAGAATTCTTTTTGCAATAAATAAAGGGAAATAACACAATTAACAAAATTACCATTACCTGGTGTTGCTCTCTCGATTTTGCCGTGTTTTCTTTGACTTTGTAATTGTGAGCGAAAATTCATCCTTCCGTGTCTTCGAAATAATTATACACAACATAGGGCCAATTTTCGTCTCAACGCTGCTTTAATAGATGCAGAGAAGCCTCGGGCTGATAAAATCTCCTGCTCACGCTTTACATTGTTGCTTTTCGGTAATTTTACTTTAAAAGCACTACGTCATTGTGTTTGAGGGCGGATGTAAACTTAATCTAGCTGTTGCGGTACAAAAAGTGATGAAGACAAAGAAAAATCTAGGACAGGAACAGCCTATAGTAATCCACCTTTTCAATTGTAGCTTTGAACATTAATTTTTTTGCAGATGCGTGTTCCACTTCCGCTGACGTGAAACTTTTACGTGCGTAAAAAGAAGTGAATTTTAACTGATTCTACTGCCACACGAGAAAATGTGTGCACGCTTTGAACCTTGCACCACAGTTCAAATTCATCGATAAATCCGCCCTTTTGGTGGCATTCCCGCTCACAGACTATAAAACCACAAGAAAACTATAAATATATTTCGCCCTCTCAGTTTTGAAAGTCACGTCTCCACTCCCTCAGACCCATCCGCCCGAACAACTAGCGCCACTCCTTTTAAATTTGTCTGGAACAACAATGTTAAAAAAAAAAAATCGACTTTGTTTTATTACTTGTTTTAGGGCAACGTAGCTTTCAACTTAGCAAGCGGGTGACCTTTAACTGATAAATCAAAAGCGACCAATAAACGTTCTCCTTAGTTATTACGGAGAACTAATTTCAAGCATATTTATTTCAGACCTTTCTTGATGATCAGGCGACAGTATTGTGGCGCGCCTAAGACCACATCACACCAACTAGCTGGTTCTTCTTGTTTTTAGAGTAAATTGTCCCCAGACAAGCATTGTTCTTTTCTTAATTTGTGTCAGCCGTCGACTTGCATCATGACATTGAAATTGTCAGTTGCTTGCAAGCGTGGATTTTCTTTGTCATGGCAGACAGATTTTAAATATTCAGTTATTGCTCAAGTTCTCGTCGCTAAGGAGCCGACACTACAATACGGCTATTCAATGCTATTCAATACGCTCTATTTCCACTACAGAAAAATCGGATACGAGGCTGACTAAAAAAGTGGAACGGTTACCTACCGTGCCTAAAGTGAAAACAAGCGTTCAAAAGATTTTGGGGTACTCTATGCCCCTATGGTTCAGAAGGGTGAAGCATGCAAGGCCCTCATACAAACGCTTCCATTTAAGGAGTCCATGTCCGCCAAACAGCACGGGCTTTGTTGCAAGGTAAAAACAGTGTCGCTAGCATACTGAATGGTAGCGCTCCCCGCTGTTCTTGAATAAAAGTGGGTAAATAATTTAGCGTTTAGCTCAGTAAGATTGAAGGTTGTTTACATGTCAAAAAGGCTGCCCCTGAAACTTGATCAAGAGTTTCCAAGTATCAATCTTCCAAGATTTTACAACGGAATTACTTGTGAAATGTATGTCACAAATGGCGGCAGAAAAATATTTCGCCTAAACTAGCTTGTTTTCAGCCAAATCATTGTTAAGACAAAGCTGATCGAGGAACAAAGTGTGTTTTGTTCACCGATGTCAGGTGTTCAAGATTTCAACATTGTAACCAACTCCTGGTGAAACCAACGTGCCTGAAGCTGCAAGAGAGCAAAATGATGAAAATACAAACATTCTTTCAGTTGTACACGCCCGAAACATGATTTTACTCTAAAGGCGCTAAGAAATAGTCTGTTGAGTTTAACAACCGACAGCGTGTTTAATATGCCGAGCACGTGTGTCAGTAAGAGTGCTAATTAAGGAAACCACCCAGTTTCTTAATACAAAGGGCTCTGCCTACAGCCTACATGGAAATAACTCGAACAGCTTCATAGATTCAGTACCATCTACTCAGTTTAGCTATACATGTTAAACACAATTTTCTTTTTTGTCGATTATATAGGCTGAACAGTCTCTGCCTATAGCCTAAGAGGAAAATAACTCGAACAGCTTCATCGTTTACCATATACTCAGTTTAGCCATACACAATTTTCTTTTTTTTGCCGATTATAGAATAATTAGGGCTAAAGATAATCAAGATCCAATTTTTAAGTTTATGAGTACTGATTGAAATCTACCGTGATAATTAAATGCGTTGCATATTTTATTCTTGGCCAGAAAGTTATTTAAGTGTTTTGTTGTCTCTTCATCAGCTTGTAAAGAATACTATCTACATTTTCCGGATCGTCGTCTTTTAAAATTAAAGCTCTTGGGCTTAAAAGAAATGAAATACTAATTAAATTTAAAAAGTGCGATTTCGAGGATGTAACAGATATGTTTTTTATCAACCTTTCAGTTAACAGTTGTCTGATAAGACTTATTCTTACTAATGGTTTTTCTACAAAAAACTGAGGACTGTGTCATTTATTTCATTATCTTTCACTTTCTTTTCATTGTTAATGCTGTGGGATTGTTTATATTCGTTGCACGAGCTTCATTTTCCGGTTCAGCTGCAACTTGATTTCTATTTTTGATTATTCCGAGTGCCTCCTGAGGTTTCTCAGATTTCCATTTTACATATTTTCCACACTTCGCCTACAGGGTTTAGTGGGCAAACGGACCCTTATGAAAATATATTTTCAGTCACTATTTCTGTTGCGAGTTTTCTAGCACAAACAATAGACAAAAGGCCACAGGGGTAAAAACCTTCCAAAAACATCCAACCCGGTTCCTGCGCGCAAAAGCAAGCTGTACCAGTAGTCCAGTGCATAACAGGAAATGCTGTGTCTTCTGTGGTAAATGTAATTGGTGTACGTTTTGCAGTGTATCTGCAAAATGTTTTACGGCTAGAGAGTCACGAGACAGAGAAAGCAAAGGCACGCTTCAGGGCTCGTTTCATTGCCTATAGCGATACGGAATCACAGTGTTTCTCAGTGTTCTGTGAAATAAAATCTATCTTTAAGCTCCGGGCTCCAAAACAAAAACGTTAGGATTTCACGGCCGGCTGTACACATCTTAGCTTTCTAATATTTTTCAGCGCCTCAAACAGTTTCACACTTTATAACTTACCGTTTCCAAGTCGGTGGTGCGAATGACGTTTTGGGGAAATCTTCGATGAGGTGCCAATTCTTATGCCGAAAACATTACCGGAACAATCTGTTTTGAAGTGACATGTTTAAGGGAATACTAAACAGGTGATGTTGTTTAACAGCTTCTAACTGACTGCAGGCTCAGATCAGATCAGATCAATGGTAATAGAATAAAAGATAAATTACTTATGCAACGCTCTCTCGTGCTATACAATGGATTATCCCACAGGTCCTTTGTGTTTTCTCGGTACACACGTGAGCCTTAATAAGGCGAGTGTGTATACCAAGAAAATACGGGTGACAAGTGGGATATTCCATGATAAAACACGAGAGAGTGTTGCATAACTATTTTATATCACGCCATAGAAAATACAGTGGCCAACACATAAATGCGTCATTCGCGCAGCGCACGGGTGGGTGGAATACCGTCGAGTATACAACAGCCAACAGCTGTCTTGCTGTCCTGCATTCTGATTGGCTGTACTTTCTATGGCATCTATGGCATAGTAGAAACAGAATTAAGTATTAGCAAAAGCGGAAAAATACTTATGATCTAAAGGATTTACAACCTTTACATCGTTCATAGCCAAACTAAACAGTTGTTACAAGAACTCCACTTCATGGACTTCTGTTGTTATTGACCAAGTGTAAGGTAAGATATTGACTGTACTCTGCTTTCCTTTTTTTCAACAAATAAAAAAACTTCCAGGGTTAACACCCGGGGGCCAATGTTTTTACGAATCGATCGAAAAATCTTGGAAAATAATGCTTTAATTATTTTTCTAACATGACAAACGGCTGGTAAAACACCAATGAAAGTAAGTCTGAGTGCACATTAGAAACTCTGAAGCAATTGTTTAACATTCAGAATTTCGTCAGTCAATTCCCATGGACTCGAATGGGGCTGAAAAATAACAGGTTTATTACGCCTTTCAAGTCGACACATCAAATTCACGAAACGCCACTTCTGATCGTGAGTGACTGTCCTTCTGACTTGAGAAAATGTCCTGTCAAAATAAAATTATTTGACTGACGCCGTCAAGCAAATGTAAACTACAATCAAACGAAAACCAAAAAAATGCAGGGGTAAAGGAACAGAGCTTTCGATACAAATAGTTGTGTAGAAAACGCTATTGCTAGGAGGGCGAGCAGAGGAAGTAACTGGAAAATGCACAAGTCACTGCTGAGAATTCATCAGAATCATTTCTCGGGGGTTATGCTGTTGTTGTGCAAACGGGTCCCAGACGTTTTCCATGTAAGTGGGTCCAAGAAACCGTTCTTCTTGTGCGGGCAAAATGTCTCGAGTTGGTTGACAGAAGCGTTGGGTTCAGTAGGAGTTTGGCTCAGATAACTGACGAGGGTAAATGGGACTACGTTGTAAATCACTTTGAAACGTCGCATGCGCTAAAAGGTGATTTTATAAGTGCGCGTACGACGTCAAAGAGCGCAAGGTAGCCGAAAACGAACTGTGAATTGTAGGTTAGAACCTTATAAATAATTCTAAGTATTGGTTCTCAGATAATACGATTCAACTCATTCAAGCTATATAGATAGTATGGAATTATTTTGGCTGCTGCGTGTTTTTCTTGGGCAGTTTATGCACGTGTTTTGTGAAAGATGACCATTGTCGTGGCGCGGTTCGTCACAAGGTACCTCTCTTGAGAGTGCCAAGAGACTTGGTCATAGGAATCGATTGCGCTTTACCACATTTTCGAAAATTTAAGGTAACTGTGAACCCCACGTTTTATCCCGCTAATCAAAATTTGTAATAATTGTAATAAGAAATCAACTCCTTATTATACGACTAAGTAGTTCAGAGGGTCAATAACTGAAATCAACCAATCAGACTGCTCCATTGCCGGCTCAGTGTTCTCTCAGTATTAGGCAAATGAACCCGCTCGATCACTCTTGAAGATTTTCTGGTAGTTTTATGGCTTACGTTTCTGAAAAAACTTGCTTTCATATAAAAGAATCCTTTTCTTTTTCGTCAAATTACTTTTTCCTTCTGTTTTGGTTAACATCAGACGTGAGTATTTGCCTTTGGCTTCTAATCAGAATTGCGCGCTTCAAGTTTGCGATTTTTTTCCAGTCCGTTATTGTAACATTTTTTCTGAGCATTTTCAGTGGTATAAAATCTCTCATTAACCAAGCTTGCTCGGGACCGTGACAATATCACTCTTCCATCTCTCTTGAACGAACTTCGCTACGCTCGCCGCCGGCCCATACTGTCAAGACCTCGGGTCGACATTCTTTCAGTGCGGCCCTCGGGCTTGGTTAATAATATGTATATTATATTGGTAAATTTCTCGCAGTTTTTGGACAATCTCGTCTTCGAAGAGAATATCTCTTTCTATAGACGATGAAAAGGCCAAAGTAAATCTCCATGATATGAATAGAAAAGATGAAACGTCAATCCTCGACACACAAAGTGTATAATGTGACGCTCCTCCCTACTTTGTTCCCAGTATCCGCTCCAAAGGGAACCAACACAGTGTTCGAAAGGCGGGCTCCCTCTCTACGTCAAACGTTTTTGTGCTAACGCCGGCCCATCTACTTCCCTTAACCCGTAATTACGGTTATCTAAGACCATGTGCACATTGAGTGGCTAGCGCATTCTCATCCCGAACTGAGGTCATCTCCTTTACTTACGACTGAATGAAGCGGTCTGGAAAGCAGAAGCCCTGGGCTCTAGCGAAACGTCCGCTGACTGACAACGCAAGGAAAGGAGAGGCAAACTTAAAGACAAAACCCCCACCGAAATGGGAGATATTTTGTGCGGGAAACTTAATTTAACGGATAACTCACAACCAAGCATGAAAACGTTGCTTTTGTTATATTTACTGTTTCATCGTATATTGTTTTCATGATAAATTCGTATTGTAAAACACGATACGACCACTCATCTAACTACGCTACAAAACCTTTCTGGCTCTGACCATATTGAACAACAAATGCTATCAAGATTCAGACCTGAACTGAGCAATACTTCGTAATGATGCAATTCCACTAACCATCCTATTTTTATCAATGGCACACTGAAAGCAAACACGACACGACAGACTTACTGACTTGAATTTACCCGCAGAAAAAACAGGACTTAAGTGGAAATCTCAAGACATTTTGTCGCGGCTGAATGCAAGTCTGTCAAACGTATCTTTCAAAAGGGCCCAACAAACCAACGATGAACCATCAACGACTGCAATCTACAAGTACGGTCCAAGCTGGACAGGTTTGTTGGTCTTATGTAGTAAATATATGTACAAAAAATGACTTAAGCTAAATTCTGAGGTGAACTGATTAACAGTCCTATGGCACTATTGCCAGTAAAACGGGGCAGAACCACGAGTCATAAAAAAGTCCTTTGACAGTCTTACCACAGTCGTGCGATTATCGTGCGACTGTCATACCGTATAGCAGTCGTACGGCAATAGTCGTAGCAGTCGTGCGAATGTCGTACCACAGTCGTACCACAGTGGTGCGATTATTGTGCGACAGTCGTTCGATTATCATGCGACTGTCATACCGCTTAGCAGTCGCACAGCAATAGTCGTTGCGGTCGTGCGACTGTCGTACCGCAGCGCGTAATTAGGGAGTTTAGAGAACTTAAGTAAACCACGACGGCAACGGTAACGAGAACGCCACAAAACAGTAGGTTAAATCGGTAGAACAATGGCTGTGCACGTGCGTTAAAAATCTTTGTACATTTCTTTGCCGTCCTCTGCAAAGCGTGAAATGACTAAGTTCTGCGTATTTTGGAGAACGCGAACGACGGCGGCTAGCGTGTCGTATTTCAATTTGGAATTGAACGCTGGTGTTACATATTTAGCTTGAGCAAGTTCTGAGACAAATAGGCGCACTGAACAGATCCAGACAATTATAATTCGAAGGTAAAATATAACTTATTTTTTGCTAGGCGTTGTCCTCGGGGTCGCCGCATTGCTTAAGTTATGTTTAAGAAAACCACGACGGCAACGGGAACGACGCTAAACAAAAGGTTTAATGAGAAGAGCACTGGCTGTGCTGAATTTATCGCTGAGTCCCAGATTCAGTTTCGTGATAGTTTTGACAATGGGAAACAAGCTAAATGACTTTTGAGTAACACAAGATTGATAGGTAAAATATAAAGTCATTTTTTAATCGACGTTGCCCTTGGCGTCGCCGTCGTGGTTACTTAAACTTCGTAATGATACGGCTGTTGTACCACAGTCGAGCGATAATCGTACGGCAGTCGTATCGCAATCGAGCGATAATCGTACGACAGTCGTATCGCAGTCGAGCGATAATCGTATGACAGTCGTACGGACGTCATGTGATAATCGTACAGTAGTCGTGCCAGTCTTTCGACAGTCGTATCCCAGTAGTCCACAATGTCTCGCCACAGTGGAACCTAGCTGGAAAAAAAAAAATCAATGCTAAACAGTGTTTCCACATATTTTTACTGTACAAAGATCTAATATATCATCTAATTCTATGATTCAACAGATTTGAGACCAAATTAGGAATTCCACCTATTCTTTTTACTAAAATATAAGTTATGACACTCGATAAATTCTCGCGTTTAGCAAACACGCTTAAACTCTCTGGCGAATTTCTTTTCCATAGGTTCCTCTGTGGTACGCCATCAGAGCTTACAAAGTAATCGTATTAATTCATTATTAAGATTTAAGCCCCGTTCCTAAACTCCACATTATATACGTATATAGCAGGAGGCAAGCTTCCTTGCAGCTTAATACTTAATGCTGCATTTTTAACTAAAACCTTATCTTCAACAGAAACTTGATAACTATGAAAGCCTTGGAGTATTTCTGCTTTGTAGCTATTCAATTCAATTTTTTTCTAAATACAGTACACTATCAAGATTGCTTGCCGAATAAATTAATGGCTGTTAGAAGCCTACCTAAGGAAGACATATCGGAGCTACTACACATTCCATATCAGTTCTTATTATCTAATTACATGATTAAATTTACATATCTGCCAAGATTTCCATTATGCGTGTGATTACATTATTCCCACCCAATCAGAAACGAGTTCATCATTTGAGTCACCTATGATCAGTCACAATGAAACCAACCATTGAAAAACGCAATTTTTAGTGCAAGTCTAGATTTGTCTGGGGAAAATACATACCGTTTCTATAGAGTGAAAAGTCTCATGTTTAATAAAAGACACCAAAAAATGTTCGATTGCAGATCAGGAAAATGCCATTTAAAATCGATTTGCAGTCTTTTTTTTCGTTCATTCATGTTATGCGAGGTGTGTTTCTACCCACATCGCTGAAGTAGTTCCTTTTTCGATGATCGAGTGTTCACATTTGTTCCAAACGCGACATCTCGAATTAAGTGTAATTTAGCAACATTACAACATGAAAAAAGTACTTTTCAGAGTCCTGTTCCATTTGTTGTTTGCATCGTCATGCAAACAATTAAAGAACGGAAACCCATTGAAAGTACTCCCTATCAAGTACAAAGTCCCTCCTCTCCTTCCCACTAGGGGAACTACCATCTAAAGGTGAGTGGAGAAGTAGTCACACCTTTTACGGGTTAAAATTCATGATTGAGACAAGTCAATTTAAAATGATCACCGTCAGAGTTATCTTTGTGTCTTTTCGTTAATTAAGCTTGAAAAAAATATGGAGAAAAAATATTAAGATATATGAAAGGAAGTACTGGTTCCAAAAAACAAGGTACAGGTACTTTTTACGGGTTCCGTTCAAAATTTCCGACGGCCACCCCAATTATTTTAGGCAGACGGGTGGGGGAATCAACATCTCACGCGTTACGAGAACTTTTACCCCCAGTTGCGACACACGCGACCTAAAATCAGGTTTCAATGTGCACACAACTTCATTTGGATTGCTGTGGGATTCCACGGCGAGAAATAGCAGTCTGAAAAGAACATGAGCTCGACAAGCTTCCAGTTCACTAGCTCACAGTCTACAGGTCCTCGTCGTCGATTGTGTAACTGAGCTTCTTGGAGGATGTCCTTGGCACTGAAAATTTATTATTCTTCGCAGATGGCTTTGTGTGGCTCTTTTGGGTAGAAGCGGAATCGATGGTCTGAAGAAAAAGAAGGCAAGTACCCCGACATTAAAAAGAAAATGCTAATTTGTATTTTTTGGGTTTAATTTCTACAATTCTTGACTAAATGGGACGCGTCCCCGTTGTCTGACAAAGAAACAAGGTTAACAACATCGTCTGCAAGCAAAAAAACAAATAGACTCTTTTCTCTGCTTCGCTATAAGGTGGCTTACTTTGCACGTATGTAAATAACTACAAGTCATGCTGTACTTTGGCGAGCCCGTAACAAACTGACCGGTTAAGTCAAAAATTCGCAATTATTCTCAAAAACGTCAAAATTGTAAAGGTAACGACACCAATTGGCGCGTATTCTGCCGCGTAGAAACTAATAATTATTGGTATTTGTTCTTCCCACCCGGATCAAACTTTCTGGTCAACAGTTACACCGTAGAACCACACAGCTTAGCAGAGTGACAGGACAGGAGGGAAGGGTGTAAATATTTAGAAGAATCCAAATAAATCTGTCAATAGCTACATTAAATAAGCAAAGCAATGTCATTTCTATACCGTCTCCTGTGAGTCTGTGTTCTCATTGGATTCTTCTAATGGACTGTGCCCTCCCATTCCACCAGGATACAATGGTAAAATTCCGTCCTGTAACAAGACAATTGACGAATAACCCGTCCAGCTACAGCAATGGTAGACTTACAGTACTGGTAATCTACTAACCTTTTTCTCCCTTTATAAATGTCTTATGATATTACATTTTAACTGGTTATGGACAGCGGTTTAGGACGCCATCACATTTTACCAAAGTAGCATGAACAAATGTTCAAGACGTTAACAAGTAAAAAGATTAAAGTAACTACCATTTACTAAGTAAAAGAACTACGTCACGTCACGTTCGTTCAGTTCTTTGGGCGATGCTTATCAAATTTTCTTCAAATCAAGGGTGGAAACCTCCATGTGATATTTTACTTCGGCAGAAAAACACTAAACGCGACTGCCCATGAGACTACACGACCACGATAGACATTCCTAAAAAAAGGCGTAACGTTCTGGCATTCGGTTGAATACTTCGGTAAGGACACCTAAGTCAGCTGTGTAGAGATATAATGGTACGTTTTCAAGTCCAAAATGTCAGTTTTATTTCTGGATTCTCTGAAAATTGATGTAAAATGGCACAAAGCTTGGCTAATTAGCGGGTTTGACTGTTACCTTTTTATTCCATTCGTTCTCGGTCATGACTCTGTCCACACATGCGTTCATGAACAGAAACTACAAAGAAAAGCGAGTTAGAAGGAAAGTGAGCCCTGTACAATAACTACAGCAAGATTGTGGAATAAGGACAAGTGTGCAATGGGGGTCATTACCGAGGGTTAAGAGTCAAATTGATCATAAATTATATTAAAAATATACGTTCAACTCATGATTCCTGGCGAAAACAATGCACAAAACGTAACTAAGTTCCCACTCGCCATCTCGGAAAAGCATTCATACAAATTATAAATATATACCAATCTCAGCCTATTTAATTCAAACAAATACGAAATGTATACGTACATATTGTGAATATATTTTCACCCATCTGGGTTTCTTGTCTCCTCTGCGATACTCAAAACAAAACGCCATTGCCTCGGTATCAGCCTCCCACTGCGTCACTTCCTCCCAGTCGAATGTATGTTCCTGTTCCTGTTACACAAACAAAGCCATAACTAACGGACTACAAGCTAAGAGACTTCAAGAGTAACTCGTGACTACAAACAAAAAGACCCAATGACTAAGCTAGCGTCCACACTACACCGGAGAAATTAGAAAACGCAGCTTTATTTCTACGGTTTGGCGGGCCTACCGTCCACACTAATCCGGCACGAAAACGGAGCTTTTCGAAAACGATCTTCAAACCGGAGGAATTTGAAAAAGTCGGCTTTTCGTTTTCGTGCGGACGGGAAACATTTTGAAAACGGGGCTTTTCGAAAACGATGTAGTAATGATAACAATGTGATTTTCCTGACCGAGTTTTCCTAAAACACAAATCCAAAATGACCGGTGATTGTTGCGTTTTTAAATTCTTCCGGCGTAGTGTTAACGGAAAACACTTGATGCGTTTTCAGAGGGAAACCTCGTTTTCAAATTCCTCTGCGTGGAGTGTAGGCGGGACCTAATTTAAGGACTACAAGAAAAGAGAATCAGTAGGGAATTCACGGACAACGCTGGAACATTAAGACCTAAAGCTAACTCATAGACTGTAGCAATAGAAACCCAGTGACTTAGGAGACGCAAGCAAAGAGATCAAACAGACATGCCCTACCTAGACACAGCTGCCATTAAGCTCGCAAAGGTAAATGATTTGAGAAAACTAGCTTGGGAAGTAAAGCTTGCATCCTCGAAAGGAAAAGTCCCCCCTCCGCCCCCCATCTAAGCCTGCGATATGCCCTATGTATACAGACATGTCGTAGAGCACACTGACCTGTTTATCGCCCTCTTTAGAACATGCTTGTAGTCGGAAATTGCTTAGACTGACTGAAGCAATAACGTGACCATTTCTTCTTGCATCACATGCACAATGAGGAAACACAACAGTTCCATATCCCTCAAGCGTTCTGGCAACATCAAGGTACTGAGGAGAGTAAAGCAACGCTAACATTTGCTCTGCAATTTCAATTTGCTTTATCAGAACGACATATCAATCCCTCGTTTCCTTTTTGTTTTGTGTACACGTCTATTCCCTCTAGTTGCCATAATCTAGTCTGGAACAAGCCGTAAACTAGTCTGGTATATCATGGCATTGGCACAGCTAATCCTAGTAGTGCTGCCAGAATACAGGAAATTTGTCCCCATCACATGACCTACCCAGCTCGCTTAAGTCTACCGTACCTCAGTAGTAGGTCATCTGACTGTTACCATAGTGGTGAGAGGCTAATTTTATTTAACTGTTAATTTTAGTTTGTCTTGTGTTAGTCTCATGATCATCCATGGTTGTCCAATAGTCATGATCAACCCACACGGGTTCTCCACCAAGATTGCTGGACAGTTAATGGATGGCTAACCCGCTTGTGCAAAGAGGAACCGAGAGTTTAATGGACTTCTATGGTTTTCATTCTTTGACCCACAACGTCTCCTGATTCTGCTGATGCTAATGATACTACCTATGCCTATACCGAAGTTTCAACGAATGTCAGAAGACTGTCGAAACATGACCGTCAAAACATGACTATCGCAAGAACAATATTTGATTAAAACTTAAGAGAACCTAGACAGAATGAACAACAAAACTTAGTTACCGGCAAGATTTGTGGGTGAACTTGACTTTTGGACAGACATGAATGATCACAAGACTAACACAAGACAAACTAAAATTAAAATCTAAAAAATATGAAATAAACTTAGCTTCTCAAGACAACAATAGGTTTACCTCAGACTTATTCTTCTAAGAATGACTCGCACGTTTTTGTCGCGAGTACCAATATCTAGTTTCCCATTATAATACCACTACATTTTCAAGAAGATGGGTGGTAAGAATAAATCAAATCATCAACTACGGGATATTGTCTTGACAAACTATCAAATTCTCATAACTCACAATAAACAAAGTGTAAGGCAATCAGTACTTAAGGAGATTTCAGATTCTTATTTCGAGTTTCACTCACCTCTTTCTTTTTATTCCCTGCCTGAAGATCTTTAAGTTTTTGCAAGTTTTTTCCTGGTGACAGCTTTCGTGTTCTTAAGTCACTTACTGCCTGTGATTAAAATGTCATCACAGTGTGTTTTGGCAATTTGCTTAAACTGAATAAATGGTTTGAAAGATAGAACATATTCTCTGCCTCTGTCGTGGACAGTTGAAACACAAGTGGAGACTTGACATAAAGAGAACACTGATGGTGTGGAAGCAATTGCCAACCACTCATCTGAGTTCTCTAAAAACATTCACTGATACAAATTACTGTAACTCTGAAGAAACAAGACAAGGAAAAGACACTGTGTAAACATGAAAGAACCACATGAATACACAAAACCAGAGTGATGCAAGAAGTTCTTTTTAACAATTAGACCCATAGCCCGCAAGGGCAAAGGGTCTAATTGTTTTAGTATCATCCAACTAGTCGGACAGAAAAGGCAATAATAAAGTTAGCAAATGCAAGTTGAAGAAATATTTATTTGGGAATAAAACGAAAGAAAGTGTCACACTCAATTGTGCCAATTTTGCTTCTTGAGGACTATTACTAATGGTCCTCTAGTAGCGTAGCCAATCAAAATGCAGAATTTGCATTAGTCCACTAGTTGGGTAATAATAAATAGCAATATACAGTACTCAGACAGTAGAAGTAGGAAAGTCTGTTAACTTTAAGTCCCACTGTCAGGATATTATATTTTGAACAAAACATGTATGGATGTCTCTAATTTCACATGTTTCATATGTTGAAAAGGGAAAACTAAAGATTGAATTAAGTCCTAACTTAACATAAAATCTTTTGAAGATTTAATGTTATGTCAATAAAGTTATGTTAAGTTAATTAAGTTAATAATAAAGTTTATTACTTTATACTGTAGATACCTGGCTATAGAGAAGGTTTACTGCATTGTCATCATGGTTCATCAGTACTTCCTGTCAAGCCACATAACAATTCCATTCAGAATGCTACTTTTAAATGCACTCCACAATATCTTAGGGGATGGGCTCTCAACTTTCATAAATTTGAAATAACAGGAAATAAATAAGCCAGGGCTATTGCATATTTATTCTACATTTGTCACATTCAATGTTCATGATCTCCTTTAATATTGAGTTTTTATATCGGATAGCCAAGCATCATTTTGAGGTCTTCATCAATAAATTGAAAGGTAATTTTCTAAAATGCAAAAAAAAATACTTAAAGAAAATATCAGCACAGCTCCTTGAGATATCATAAGTAATATCAGTAGCTTCCTGTTTTGATCAGGCAACGTATCGTCTATTTTCATTTTTATTATTATTTTTGTTTTACAGTACATTCTTATTGCCAATATGATCAATTGAAGTCCCTGCCTGCCAAGCCAAACACATTGAATGTCTTGGACATACCACTAATTAAAATCAAATAGACACAAGTCTGCAGAGAAGCAGAATCTAGTACAAACCCTCGCTAGAGTGAAAATCCACTTTCTCAAGGCAAGAGAAGTTGTTGACAGTGCAGAATAAGTTCGTATGTACACATTGTGTGGGAACTCCTTACTCTCAAGTTTTCGTTCTAGAAAAAAATAAGAAAAAATAAGACATTTGAGAAAACCAGTGAGAAACTGTGAAGCTTGGTAAATTGACCAGTGTAGTGCAATTTGACAATTTAAAGTTGATGAGATAAGAGAAGAAAATATCAGCACACATAATTTCTTGTTACAACTCTGACACATTGTTAAGGACACAGGTGAGGAGAATATACAAGTACATCATCAACCGGGGATGCTACAATGAGCAACAAAAGTGTTGCATCACTTTGCAACAAAATTCAATTTTCAAGTGTCTTGGAAACTTTTAACCTCTTCCCCACCAAGCAATGTCGAATTTTCTATTTCTAAGACTGCACAGACCACAACGCCTATACAACATTGAATTGTGGGGCTGGGGGTATGAGAAATAACATGAGATGTAAATAAACTACAATATGAGGTTAAAAATTGAAAAGTGTCCTTTTCTAAAACTGTCTCAACTACTTTTGTCACTTATTACAGCATAATGTACCACAAATTCTGAGAACTACCACCACCCAATGATTACCACCGATTAGGAAAAAAAGCAATTTTCTACCAGAGTAGACAAATTTTACTGTCCAGAAAACAAATTAATAATTTATTTCAACTCACCATAGAGACATAAATTTGCTTTGTTTTTTAATTGGCCATGAAACGGTGCCTAGTCTAATCAATAATGCTTGAGAATCAAAACATGCTGCAATCTTTAAGTAAAATTACCAGACTTTTGACAAGAAATTTATATCTTCCTTCACCAACTAAACTTCTAACATGTAGAAACCCTGAATTTACAAGAAATGTACTGAAATCTAGAAAGATCAAAGTACATTGCATCTATTTTAAAACCTTGGGACAGCAGCAGATTATTTAAGGAAAAGGTCTCGACAAAAGAAACAATACTGTTAGGGTTCTCTGTAAGCAAAGACCTCCAGTGAAAATTGCTATCTAAATTTGACGGAATGAAAATTATTGTTAGTTCATGACAATTTTACATGTTACTTCATTTGACTTACCAAAACCATACTCCATAATCTCAAAAAGAGCAAAATTTGGAACACACTCTTTATCCAGATTGAGCTTCACTGCCAAAGCCTTGAAAGTGAAGTTAATAAAAGAACAAGAAAATCATATTATCAAAATCCAAGATATGTCAAAATAATTTCCAGTATTCACTAGGGCATACAAAAAGTGATGGAGAGACGTGAATGAAGGCATACAATTTGATACTCAAATTTACATTGTAAGTGGCAAATGTAATATTCTAGTTCATAGAATAATAGATATAATTAAAATTACAATTAATGACACAAAAATAACTTCAGAAACTGCCAATTGCTATCGATACAAGAACTGTTCACTATGAATGGTGTCTCATACAGTGTATATATTCTAAAACCAAACTTGAAATGAGACTGACCTCATACAATGCCAATGTTTAAAATTTTGTCATTTTTTTTAACAAATACTAGTTAGCATCACTGGTAAGCTCTTCTTCTAGTTTTGCCTGATCACTCAGACTTCACCAGGGAGTTTTGAAAAGATGGCTAAAAGGAATGTTTTTCACTCCTAATCTATAGAGTACCTTCTAATCACCTTCCAACTAGGGTGTGAACAGCAAGCAACAAGTGAACATTATGTGCAGAATAGGACTAAAATTCTGCGCAACTGGCTCACAGATTTAACAGGTGGAATGTGATTTGTATTCTATAAATAAAAAGACCATCCAGGCTGACTGAAAATTTTAAAAAAACTAGTTTGCACACACTGCTGCACCAGATTTGCCTGGATTTCTAGACAAAAGCTGCCTAACACTTCAAAGACTTTTGTACTTCATAAATTGATTCTTTCACTATCAGTGCACATACAGTGTCAGGTTCTGCAGCAATTTTACCTGATATACTTCATCTGTTTTTTGACATTTCAGAACAGTCACAGTTGTGATTGAATCATCTGGTAAGAATACCCTTAACTCGACTTTCATTGTACCATCACTGTCATCTTCTTTCTCTTGCTAAAAAAAACAGAAGTTGCAAGTACATGTATAAGGATACTGTTAACAGGCAGGGACTAAACTGATTCACAAGTGTTTAGATCAAACTGGAGACATAACAAATACCGTGACATGGTTTTCTGAAAATTTCAGGAACTCTTCCATGATATTTGACTCCCCTATTACTCTCACTGAATTCACTGCAACAAACATTACAAGCACATACTAAATAACTTATATTCAACAATACTATCAGACAGATAATTTATGAGCTCAACATTTTTTTAAAATGACAATCTGAAGCCTTGGCCAAATGGAGTCACAAGTAGCCACAACTTGCGTGGAGACTTGAGTTTGGTGGCTAAACTTTCTTGCAAGTACACGCAAGATGCAAAAAATCCATTTCAAGGCAGACATATCCTGTATTTCAATGGCTAATAGGTTGCTATAACAATGAATGGACATCACTCAGCTTATGTTGACTTGGGTTGGGTGGTCAAACAGTGAAAACCTTGCGTCAACTTGCGTACAAATTTGATCTTGACCAAAGTGAGCACAAGTCATAGCAATCCAGTGCGAGTGCATGCAAGGCCTTGCCAAATGGAGTCACAAGTAGACCCAAGTTTTCAACTTGTGTCTACTTGCAAATCCGTTTGGCCAGGGCTTTACAATTAATTTTCTACATAATTTATACATGTAAGCACTACCCTTCAACTTCACACTTAAACAAAGTTATGCACAGACTGAACTGTCATTTGAAACTTGCAGCTGCACATACATACTCACCAGTTTAATAATAAACTTTGTTTAATTTCATCAGGAATTAAATTATCCAGTACAATTTCTAAATCTTACTCCAAAACTCCAGAGAAACGAGATAACATTGACATTTTGTAGACCACCTCCAGCCACTGTGTTTAATGGCTGATATTGTGAGATACACGTGGCTCAGCCAATTAGCACTCACAGCATTTGTACTACAACTATACTGTTCACTTCTGCTACTGTATATCATTTTCATTCTGATTATTTCACCAACTAAGTTGAGTACTTGTGAAGAGTTTGTGGATGATACGATTTTTTCTCAACAGCAATGAAATCAAGTCTTACCTTGTTCAAGGTAAGCTTCTAGGCCTTTTCTCCTGGCCTCTAGTTGTTGATCAGACAAATGGAAAGGCCATTTTCCAGGGAACTTTGGGAACTGGTAATCTCTAAACTCCTTCTTCAGCTAAAAAAAAAATAAAAACATTTTTTAGATTGCTTTGAAAGCAGCAATAAGATATCTTACCACAGGCTTCCATGCATCTCCGCAGGAATTAATTAGCTACGAAAACCAGTTGGCTTTTCTGGCCTTAGCAGCTCCAAAGTTTACCCAAGTCTTTATTTGTGTGTGTGTGTGAAGTTTCAGCTGATTTAAGTACTCTTTCAACCAGTGACATAAGATGGCAGTCCGCTCTTAGTTACAAAAGTGTTAATCATGCTAGGAAGATTTTTGGGGGACTAGTGAAAATTACATCATTTCAGGATAGTACGTCATAGTTACAGTTTGCCTAAAGGGTAAGTTCAAAAAAGGCTGTTCTTTGCACTGTTTGTCTGGCAGTGGGTTGCACTTATCATGTCAATAGAAGGTGTTCAGAAAGCATGCTCAGCTATTTGTGCATCACTGCTACAAGGTTGTCAACAAATCAGTTTTTCATGTTTAATTCAGAGTCAGATCAAGCACTGTCTTAAACAACACAGACTACCTGCCCTCAGAGCTATAAACTTTAATAGTTGGCTGGAGACTTTGCCCCTTTGTAAATCACACATATTCAACTTATGCTATAAAATTATTTGTTAATTGGTTCTCAGTGCACCTATTTGCCACACAATTAGTGCGCAATCACACAGGTGTCCAGTTACAGGTATCCCATGACAACTTTGTGTTGTATAGTTTGGAAACCTGTAACTGGACACCTACACAATTCACACGTCAGTTACATGTGCTTTCATGGCTTCCTTCGCAATGTTTCCCTACTTACTAAAAATTTACTTGTACACAAACACTACCATAAAATTATAACTCTTTGAATTACAACTGTCATGTACTTGAGAGACCTTTCATCAAGAGGCATACCTGGTAATGTAAATTTGAAAATTCTCTGTATCTTCTGGAACAAACGTGCTTGTCGTTAAAATATATATTATACGCCTGGAAAAAGAAATTCCTTTATCAATATATTAAGGGTCACAAATTGAAAGAAGTTATGGCCTTTTTTGCCCAGATGATTCTTCACTGAGGTACTTGAAAACTGAGTTGAAACAAAGCTGCAATACAATTCAATCTCTTATTTTTACTCTAACATAAAAATTAGCCTGTTAGATTTTTTGGTTTGCTATTTTGTCCTTGACCATGCACAAAACACAATGGGTGCTCTCTCTAATCAACAGAAAAATTCAACTATGGTTCTACTGCGGGAAACTTTCAGATGTGATTACAGTTAAAGAAAACATGGTACAATTTACAGGAAACAAAATGCAATTCACATCTCTTACCATATATGTTTCACCATCACTAACCACTTGTCTTGTTTCAGGTATGGATAATGGGACGGATCGCTTATCAGAGTAATCGTAATACTCTCCTCCTGATGAACTCTCACTATCAAGTTTTTCTGCCTCTTGTTGACTAACAGATATCACAACTAGTGTTAATTTATCTCCACCTTTCTTTATCAGGTTCACTACATGCTTATGAGTGGCACCTTCCACATTTTCACCATTCCTACTAAAAACAGAGATGAAATTTACTATAAAAAATAGCTATGGAATGGGTTCTGTGATATATATATATGTAAACCACCCAGGTGTATAAATGGGTACCAGCGAATTTAATGCTGGGGGGTAACCCTGCGATAGACTAGCATCCCATCTAGGGAGGTGTAGAAATACCCCTAGTTGCTTCATGCTACAAAAACAAGTGTCACACTGATGGGCCACTTGGCTCATATAAAGACTTTACCTTTCTTAATGCAAACAACGGAAACAAAAGATGGAGTGGAAAGTAATAAACCATATTCTTTGTCCCAATAATAGTTAAATATATATGGAAAAAAAAACATAGAACAAACTTCGTTACAGCGGAAAAAATTTAAAGGCACCTTGCCCTTTGGTGCATCAAGGTTTCACTGTATCACCAAACTGAAACAACAATCTTTCTCAAAACAGCAACCAGGCCTACCCAGACAATTAAACTTGGTAAATTACTACATGAAAGGGCTGGATTCATTTCATCCATGAAATATAAGATCAATAGGCCATTTCTGTGAGAGCTTGTGCCTGTTTTTCAATATGAGTCCTCATGCAAAACCATTCATATGAAAATGAGTTTGATTTGCATGAAAATGAACCTGTAGGCGGAACATAAACTTTCATATGAACAGTTTCGCACAAAGACTTGTTTTGACACAGAGGCAAAAGGCAACCCGGAAATGGCCTACTCTTACTCATTACCACAGTGCCCAAGTGGTATAAATGCAGAATTTTCAAACGTGATTGTCATTAACTTAACCAATGTGAGACTGCATTTATTTTTGCCACTATTTATTGGAGGAGCCCAGTCCACAAAGAACTATGAATTAACTTTTGACCTGTTTATCAGATTAATCTACCTCAACATCAGTTTATTGAATACAATTGGTTCCAGCTGACCTTGATCTTGAATAAAAATTTAACCCCATGCTGAATCGTAAGCTTGCCTGTGATTGTTACTAGCTATAATATGACAAGTTTACAAATTAAGCTTATAAGTCTACAAAAGATGCCAAAGAAAATATCGAAAAAGTAACGGAAAACAAAATTTTTAAAACGAAGAAAAAGTAAGCGAGATTGAGAGTTTTGTTTATTTTCTATCAGATAACAACTGACAACAGCTGGTAACTTCCGCAGCAGATGAATATTAGAGAACAATCAAACCTTAATTATAAATACGAGTAAGTTTAAGCAATGTAGTTGCTATTTACGCCGTAGTATCGGATAAATTGCAGTTGCGCTGATTCAAGTAACCATTTTTACCTCAAAACAGGAAATATTACTACGTAATTACACACAATTAACGCCTCCTTACACTTCAAGGATTCGGTCGCCGATCCGAACTCCTCCACTATGTGCAGGACCGCTCTCCAACACAGCGCTAACATGTTGTAAAGGGGCATACAGTTCTCCATTAATAGACTTCAGTTGTCCTCCTTCCGATACCTGCCCACGTACGTTAAATCCAAATCCATTTTCTCCCCGGTGTAGCTCAATTAGTCGAGGCCCATAAGGATCCGCTCGACGACGTTCGGTTTCTTCTTCGTCCGCCATATTTGATTTGGTGATCACGTGACAGTGACCGTGACAGTGATAAAAATAGGATCAAATAGCAACCAAATTGCTTCCGGCTAAACCGAGGCTAGCCAAAAAACCTCTTCCAAGTTGAACAAGTATGTGTGTGGTGTGGTATGTTCGAGCGACAGTTCTATTCATTTTAAGGAGTGTGACAACGAGTGATATCCAGCAACCCCCGGCCGTGCCGTTCTTCGGTGGCTGCTTTTCAACTGTCGGGGTTTGCGCCGCAAGTCGTTGTGGCGTGAGTGAATTTTACCTAACACCCTCAGTTTGAGGGCTACTTCGCGTCCTATAATTTCTGATTCTTACAAAGAAGGTCGACCGGTAATACACAAATTTTTCAACGAGTAAGAAGACATTTATGTTATCTAAGCACGACGGCGACGGCGACGGCGACGACGGAGTCGCGCAACATGGCGGCATACTCCAAATAACAAGTTGACAGAGACATGTAGCCTTGGTTTACCGTGTACTTCTTTGATATTGAACATCCATGTTATGATCAATTAACACCTGTCAAAACAAGGTTGTTTTATTATACATCGAACGAAAAAAATGGAAGTCATGTTTTTGCTTCTTCACGGCAAGAAACACAAAGCGCGCAAACTTGACATGATTACCCGTGACCTTGAGTGTCCTTGACATGATATGATCTAATCTGCAGAGATGACGTCAAAAGCGCTGATTTAGAAAATTCACTGTATACGTACGCTTTCGACCAATCAGAAAAGAGATGGTGAGTTCAAGGTATAATAATCACAAAAGTATCACAAGGAATTCAATTACGATATTTGCCAAAATTACGTTGCATAAAATATAAAAGTTTGTATGGAGAATTTTGGCTATAAATAAAAGTGAACTCAAAGAATAAACAGATGGAGTAGTTTTCTATCACTAGTATCATTACGTCTGTTTTGTTCCACATATCCCACCATGTATGGGGCTACGTCGGATGGACACTTTAAACGTCTACAATTCAAACAATAAAATAAGCAGAACGAAATTGTATCGACCAGTTTTTGGATCTTCGACATCCCGTAAATATTTGCTGCTTTTTGCCTTCATTCAGCTGCAGCCGCCCTTCTTTGCTACTTAGGGACGACGACGACGACGACGACGACGACGAAGGCGACGACGCCAAGGATGACGCCTAATCAAAAATGAATTTATATTTTACCAGCGAAATTAGTGATTGTGTAGATCTGTTCAATGGGCTCTAAAGACGTGCTCAGGCTAAATATACAATGACAGCGTTTAACTCCAAATGGAAATACCAAAACTTAGCCGTCGCCGTTCGCGTTCTGGAGACTTCCGTAGACTATATACGCAGAACTTAATCATTTCACGTTGTTGTTTTGCAAAGGACGGCAAAGAAATGTACAAAGATTTATAACGCACGGGCACAGCTATTGTTCTTCTCATTAAGACGAAATCCGATAGAAAATCAAGCAATTTCAGTTTTAAGTGGACAAAAATCTGGTACCAGAATAATTTTAAGTATTTTACAGTCCTTTTCACATTTTCTCTAAGCTAAAGATATACTGAAATAGTTGCCTGAAATAGCACCAAAACCAATTTCCCATGGGAACGAGAGAAACTAAATTTCAAAGTTCCGAGAAATTGTGCAAACACAGGTAAAATTTCATCATCAGTTTCATTTCACCAGTACTTTCAAGTGTTTCATACGAAGTTCAACATTCGTTTTCCACGTTCGGTGTCGCTAGAAATGATTTGTTTTTGAGAAGATATTTAAAATAGTCGTACAGAAGTTTGCAATACGATGTAAATAATCTCGGTTCAAAGATTTTGTCCATTAGTTGGGACGTGGATTCCGTCTTAAACCTTTTGCTTGGTGACGTTCTCGTTGCCATCGTCGTCGTGGTTTGCTTAAACTCCCTCCAGCCGCTTTACTTGTACATGTACCTACATCTATTGTCATCAGCATCATCATCATCATCATCATCATCATCATCATCATTATTCGTCGTCGTCGTCATCACTCATCATTATGAACTGCATGGCGTTAAGACGCTACTGATAGTGAGAGAGACTTTTCAACTTTTATTTGAAAAAAGTTATGTATCCGAACTCTGTTTGTTGTGTGGATGTGTTAATTGTGACATTTTGACAGAAAATTCTCCTTGCATTTCATTATTTCAGTCACCTTAAAAAACTTCTATTATAGTAGTGCATATCGTGTGTTTAAAGTTCTGACAGCCTGTGAACTTGCGAAACGCTTGGCTCGTGGATAAATAAAAGAAATTAGTTTACGAACTACTTCAGTGAAAATTTGAAATGCATTTTCGCGTTAAAAAAGTCAAAGGCAGCGTAGCTTCATGTGGTTTGGCACATTCTAAACAGCTTTTGCACACAATCAGACACCACTCACGCGTTAGTATATTAGGAGTCGCCGCCCCATTTTAAAAGTAAATGAGTTGCTTTCAACTACTTAGAAAATCGTCTTTGGTTTCCATTGCATTTAACCCTATCACCTCTCTGCTACTGGTGGGTCAGATATTTGCGGCTCTCGCAATTAATATTTTTGCGCGCGTATTGCGCCGTCTGTGAGAAGAAATTTGCAATTTGATTTCATTATCCGGTAACTTCACGGTACGGTTATTTAGTTCTGGTCAGTTTAGTACATGTTCATACAACTTGTATATTAGCAATGCATGATCAACGTTCTTAGCCAAACCTCATTACACGCGAGTTTGGCGGGCATAGATCGGATTGAAATATAATTGCCTCGTGGCCAACTGACCAAGCACCAAATTTATAGTAATAATATAAAGCAGTCGTACACGTAATAAAGAACGATAGGTTTCGTTGATCAATCGGCGAATGTGGTGGGCGTAAAATACAATATTGCTAATTTACTTAAAAACTTCTCAAAACAATATATTCACCTTTAATTTCGAATTTTGAGATATTGCAAAAAGTTTCCATGTTGAAAGACTTGAAAGGTAATGAATGATATTGGTGGCAAAAAGAGAAATTTATAGTTACGTGATTTCCAAAAATATATCTTAGTGGGCGGATAGGATTTAGTAGCTTCATCTCAGGCGTTTGCTTAATTGGAGAGCAACACGAATAACGACTAGAGAAAAGAAAAGGGGAAAGTTTGTGGGAAAAAGACGAACGAACATTCCTTTTTATTTTCAAACGCAATTTTTCACGTTGAAGAAGCTACCGTGACTATTCTATTATTTTCGTGAGTGACATAACTGCACATAACATGTTCTTATTATGCAGTTTTTCGAACAATATAGAGTTTAAAATTTGGACATGTTGCATTTCTCTTCCTACACTGTGACTGCTATTTTTTCGTTCTTTTTTTTTTTTTTTTCAGGGAGGGGTTTTGTTTAAGCAAGCAACAATTTTCAATTTAATTANTCATGTAGCTGGTCCTTTGGAATACTTCTTTGGGAAATGGCCACCATGGGTAAGTTTAAAAAAATTATTTCTTTTAGCTCCCTTACATTATTTTTTCTTTTTTTTTTTTTTTTTTTTCAGGGAGGGGTTTTGTTTAAGCAAGCAACAATTTTCAATTTAATTATTAAATCCTGCGTGATGAATCTATATAACACGAATCTATACATTAAAAATTGACATCGCGTGCAATATTACAATCTGTGTGCGTGTGACAGGAAATGTCAGTCTTGAAAAGAAAACAATGCGAAGAAATAAGCAAAGAGAAATTAGTGTCTCCTTTATGCCCCGTTTTTTATCTAAATTCTGGGAACTGAATCCAGAAAACTACATATAATACGAAATAAACATTTGACTTCTCTCAGGTGTTTTTACTGTCGTTTTAGTGTAAACCAGCAAATTTTGAAAGCGCGCGCCAAATAGAGTTCGGTATAGAGCAGAGTTACGTTCACCACTGAAAAGCAAAGATGGAAGACAGAGAGAAGGGAGAGTGTAAAACAATCCGAAGAGCAGTCAGCGCACATTAACTCACCCTGATAAGGCATTGGAAACAGTATTGAATACAGCACCTGTCTACGCGAGTCTGTGAGAACTCCGTGCTCATGAACAAAACAAGATCACGACAAATATAAATCGTGTGATCAACGTCCTGGAGTGGACAGGCATCTCTAGCGTGCTAATTTACACCGGCACTGCTCACCAAGGCACGCTTACTAATCTACCTTGTCAGTCTTGTCAGCTACACTCACAGAGAGTTTGCTTGGCCGGAGAGCTGCAATCTTGGTAGAGTAAAATAAGAAATAAAACCACCCTTCCTCCCGAATCAATGATGACGTTGATGACTCGGCGCTAAACCCAAAACGCGCCACTTTTTTTTTTTTTTTTTTTTTTTTTTTT